CTGTTCTTACACGTAACCGTGAATGTTCGAAGAAACAAAAAACGTGTCGCCAGATTGTATTCATTTATAAAAATAATATTTCATCGTTTACATCATCATGTACTCATGAGGAGTTGTAGGAACCCTGACTATCACTAACGATAAGTGTTCGAAACGCATCAAATTCCGTGCAGATGGCAGTGTCCTGCAACAGTGAGCTGATTTCAGGAAACTATAGGATAGTAGTGAATGAATACTGTTGAATTCTCAGGCATTGCGGGCCAGTGCAATACTATAATTCCGCAAAAAAAATCTCGTGATGGTGCCACATTTCGATGTGATGCAGATGTAGCACTGGAAAGAAGCAACGTTTCAAGTATTCATTCAGCTTCAGCGATACACTATAAACGATCAGTGCTTTGAAACGGTTAGCGTTTGACTGCAACACTCTGTACTTTAGGGTAAATTGTCCGCTGAGGAAGCAGTAAACAAATTCCCAAACATCAACAAAAATTCCTAAATACTAGCTTGGAAAGTTGCAATCGTTCGGTATTTCCAGTGTGAATTTCGCACGTTTTGCAGAATTATGAAGACTTTAAAATGAAGTATCATATACCATATGCTCATTTGTTCCACTCAAGTTTATGACAACTTTATGCACTGCTGCAGCGGATCCAAGTGTTCCGTACGTTTTCCATTTCAATACCAAAATTTTACATTCTGATGAGTTTTATTAACGCATTTGATAAATCAAGAATGAGAAATAATAAAATAAACGAGTGAAAAGGGGAACATCGAATAAAGTGATACATTTAAGCCGTGTTTTAACGCAGCACACAGCGTATTGGTTCAGATTTCCGTATTTCCAAAAAAAAANAAAAAAAAACAAGCATTAGGAAGATAGTGAAAGACATAGTGTATCCCAATAGTCAGAGGCACAAGATTCAGTGAAAGACACAACCAACAATATCACAACTTAGAGCCAACAAATGTTTAATGCATTAAAATTTCCTCAAGACATGTGAAGTTAATCATATGATAGAACACTTAAGTCGGAAATACTCACTGGTACAGATATAGATCAGTTAGAAAATACCTAAAAACTTCGAGGCATGGTGGAAACTCGTGGTTCCTCTTCCATTACCTAAATGCAATTGGATTCAACCTTTGGCTATCTAATTATTGGTGAAAATGATTAACTAGAGAGTGTCAAGAGGCTAACCGATCTCAAATGGCAATGAACACCAATAATATCATCGTATACTCACAGAACATGAAAAAACGTAATCACAGCTAAAAATTTTAGCACAATTGATCATAAGGATGAGTTTAAATGCAAAATCATGATATGTACAGCGATATTATTTACACAAACGAAAAAGTTGAGTGAATATCGAAAAAAAAAACACAAATACACGCAAACGAGATCTTTAGTCATTATAAAAACATTCAAATGTTGTTACATTTTTCAAAATCGTATTCAGCGAGTTGGTTTTCACGACCAAGCTCGACAATGTGATGTAACCAACGCAACATGATGAAGTAATTAAACAAAGCAAATGAATTTTGCAATGTGGTTCACACTGGAATCGAATCAGGCACTTCAAACGTCATTTTCAGCTCAAGAATTTTTTGAACGGTCACAAGCAATCCAATTAGAAAACATCTCCGTTACTATATGGAACAAAAATACGACCAGAGAACGCTAAAACCTTATAACATGGGAATGATTCGAAAATGGTCAAAAAATACGGAATTTGGAACGAAATCATAAAGCGATACCCATCCGCACTGAAATGGACAACTTCATGATATTTATAGAGTGCAATCCTTTCAGTGAAATGCGTTAGACTTCGTTTAGTGCTAATTTTCATGTAACTATTTAATTAGTTATGAAAGTTGAAGTTTCGATCAGGGATCAAAAACTGACAGTGCGGTGATATTCGAGTGTGGAAGGTTCGTTCAAATGGTTTAAGTCCAGCGATCAACTGATAGTCAAAATCCGCTTCACTCAAGCATTCCTGTTTGACGTTCACGCCATCTGCTAATCGTTTGCACCGGTCATAGGCATGCGATCTGTTGGCGTAAGAATTTGATTCTGATTCTGCGCAAGGAGCAGCAGAATGAAGCGCCGATGTGGTTAATGTGGCACCAATTGGAAGTGACGATTTCGGCTTACACGGAGTTTCTGCTTCGTGAGCATTGGAGTGTGTCAGCCCGAAACGTTGAGTGACACTCGACGTTGAAGGACACTCGACAGCACGGAAAAATTCATCGAGATCATCTCTCAGTTCCGGGAGTGGACCTCGCATTGCTTCACCCAGGCATATTTCTGTGGCCGCATCCAAACCCATGAAAGGACTCGTTGCTGAAAGAGCACAGAACACTCAATGAGCAGTCACAGAATTCATTCATCTAAAGTTACTCGGAATTCGAATTTTTTGCCAGTTGAAAAACTTTTCAAGGCAGAGGTCAGTATCGCAAACTGGTATGCCTGCGTTGCAATTGTTTATACCTTGCGATTCACTGATTCG